TGTAGTTAAAGGCATCGGAGGTACTAGTAAAGCTACCCAGGGATATATTAATTTAAAATTTTATTCTCGGATAGATCGTAATGTTAACTTTGATATAAATGCACTAGTAGTGGATAGGGTCACTGAACGGTTGCCAACCGTTTCGGTTGACACCTCGGCAATGATTGAATTTAAAAATTTGACTCTAGCAGACGACACTTACGCCGTTCCTGGAAACATAGACATGCTCATTGGAGCCTGGAGCATCGCTTTTCCCTCATCTTTTGTTAAACAATAAGGTCAGGGGCAACTCCTCGCATACCGCACCTTACGCACTGGAAACCGTATTGGGCTATGTTATCGTTGGCTCCGCCCCCATCATAGGTAGTATTTCGGCAACCTCTTATTGTGGTATGGCTGTCGAACCGCTCGAGTCGTTAGTCCGCAAATTTTGGGAGATGGAGGAGGTGAACGTCCCACCCATAGCTAGCTCAGATGACAGGTTATGCGAGGAAATTTACGTCCGCACGACCGTTCGTGATCGCGACGGTAGATATAGTGTAGCGCTACCCTTTAAAGGAGATGTTTCATCTCTCGGCGATTCGCGTCAAATGGCGGAAAAACGTTTCTACAGCTTGGAGCGTAGGATGCTCGCTTCACCCCAGTTAAAGGAAGCTTACGACGGCGTCATTAACGAATATATAAGAGAAGGTTACATATCACTCGTGGCTTCGAAATTAGATAACTACGAAGACACACCGTCGTATTTCATACCACACCACGGGGTCATTAGGGAGGACAAACTTACATCTAAGTTACGTGTAGTGCTCGACGCTAGTGCTAAAACTAGCACGCACCTGTCGCTTAACGATATCCTCTGTAGTGGGCAAAATTTACAAGGCAGTTTATTTAATATAATAGCCAATTTTCATTTGTTTAGTATAGCACTATCCGCCGATATTCGCCAAATGTTTCTTTGCATAAGGGTCCGTGAATGCGACCGTGGATTCCAACGCATTTTATATCGTTTCGACCCAAAGGAACCTCTAATGGTGTTTGAATTTAACCGCGTTTGTTTTGGTTTAAAGTCGAGCCCATTTCATGCGTTACGCACGGTGAAACAGCTCGCCCACGATGAAGGTCCCTCTTACCCTAAGGCTAAGAGGGCAATTCAGAGCGGTTTATATATGGATGATTTTGTATACTCGGTCGATAGCGTGGAGGAGGCCACCCTAACCACCGCCGAGGTTATAAAGCTCATGAAATCGGGTAATTCGATCTTGTGAAGTGGACTAGTAATTCGCGTCCGGTTTTAGATACAATCCCACTATCACACCGTCTTTCGGCGATAAAGGAATTCGACGATTCTGATACACTTCTCTGAAGAAATTACAAGATTACAATCGAATAGAGCTTGTAGTTGCGCCTTTCAACGCCTTAAGCCATTTTTACCTGATGGGATTGTAAGGGTTGGTGGATGCTTGTCCAACTCGCAATTGAGTTTCGACCAACGGCACCCTATAGTTTTACCGCGTAAAGACCATATCATGAACTTATTAGTCGATTACCATCATAAATTGAACTCGCACGCTGGCCCCGACTTGTTGATGTCGATTTTGCGTCAGAATTATTGGATTCTTTCTGCACGTAGTTTAATACGCAATCGGGTGCACAGATGTATAGCTTGCTTTCGGGCACGCCCCAAGCCGTCATTTCCGGAAATGGCGGAACTTAGATCTTGTAGAGTAATACAATCGGTAAAGCCCTTCACGCACACCGAGTCTGATTTTGCTGGTCCGTTTAAAGTCACGCTCACTCGCGGGCGTGGTATAAGATCCACAAAGGCTTACGTCTGCATTTTCGTATGTCTAACTACTCGAGCGGTGCATATAGAACTCGTTGGTGATCTAAGTACAGCAGGCTTTATGGGTGCATTTAAAAGATTTCTATCCCATAGAGGCCCTGTAAGTAAATTATATTCATATAACGGTACGAACTACGTCGGTGCAAAACGTATTTTATCAGAACTACATGAGCTCTTAACTAGCAAGTATTATAATTCGGAGTTCGCTCACATTCTAGCCGAGAACCGAATTGAGTGGTCTCTGAACGTCCCAGCCGCGAGTCATTTTGGGGGCAATTGGGAGACTAATATTAAGAGTCTAAAGAGTCACTTATACCGAGTAATAGGAGATCAAATTTTGTCCTTCGAAGAGCTAAGTACGGTGCTCGCTCAAATCGAATGCCTAATGAATAGCCGCCCACTTTGTCGTACGTTGTCTAGTGACCCCTCGGACCCGCTGGCTCTAACTCCAGCACATTTTTTAAATTTAACGCCTTTAAAGTATTTGCCCGCCGTAGATATGGATGAGAACAGACTTAGCATTTCCGCACGCCACAAATTATTAGACCAGTTAGTGCAATCGTTTTGGAAACGATGGAGGATGGAATACTTGCATACTTTGCAGTCTCGGCAAAAATGGAACACAGCGACTGAGCCTTTAGCTGTAGGAACTGTAGTGGTGCTCACTAAGGAGAATGCGCCGCCTCTCCACTGGCCGTTAGGAATTGTCGAAGAGGTCTTTCCCGGTTCCGACGGAGTAATTAGGATAGCTCGCGTTAAGACCACGGTTGGGTCTTACCTACGTCCTGTTGTCCGTTTGTGCCCCTTGCCTCTTCCATAATTTAAATTAGCTTTCTAGAATAAAATTGTAGTTGAATTTAGGTAATCTTAGCGTTAGTTAGTTATTTGTTAGTTGATGTTAGCTCTAGTTGTTTTAGTTATTTTTTGAAGGAAATCCTTCAAGGGCGGTGGAGATGGTTGCGCGGAAAACCATTCGTATTTATTTTATATTTGACGGTAGGTGCCAAGTCGGTTATCCCTTTCCAAAAACGATATCATTCATACCCTCCTATCGACATATCGGGGTGGTGGGGTGGGAGGGGAAAAGAAGATGATTCTAGAACATCACGTAATCATCGGAACCGAGGATATATAAGGCACGCGCGACCGACGCGCAGCTCTTCCCGCCGCGCTCGTCATTGGAACCACACCACTAGTAGAACCGCCTTAGCCTGGAAGCAGTCGAGCTCCAGGAAACCCGCCTCACCTCGTGTGAGATATAGTCGCGCACCGCCTCTCTCCAGAGTGTCTGTCCAGAAGAGGTTCCAGAAGTCGCAGTTATAGTGCTCGACCGCATAGAAGAAACATCCCGGTGAGTCAACATTTTCCTAATAGTATAGCCTGCTTGATATAATTGTTTTAACCCGCTCCAATTTTGTGTTTTCCTAATCAAGCAGGATTCCTTTCATCGATTTGGCAAATAATAGTTCGTTTTTAGGGAAGAGCGAGTGCATTGTACCGCATATATAAGTGTAGAAATATTTAGTAGATATAGTCCACTTAGATTAATATCTCGCGTAATAGGTTTAAGGTTCGACCGGGGAACTAGACTTCGGCAGCCTTAAACACGTTGCTCCACCATGTGCATTATGTGCTAATTTACCACCTGTTGTGCAGTGGTGAAGAATAACTTCGTGAGGAGCCTGAATGTTTGAGTAGATTTATAAAAAATTGTGGACATATGAAAACCTCTAATACGCATTGAATTGGCTCTTTCCTGTTCACAAAACACTACCAGTAATTAAGATCCCTGTGCACGGTCGTGATACGTATGTATACAAGCTGCTACTTTACTTTTTTAGTTTTAATGAGACCTATAAAACAGTTTGTCATATATTGAGATAGGTAGCTTTCGGATTTTCAGATACCTATATAAGGCGCACTTTAACCTGACACTGTAATACCGATTATTACGTATCTATTAAAATACTAATACCTAGTACAAATAGAAATACATCTTCTTCAACGAATAACTGTTATTTAATCTACGTCAGCTTCAGGCCGTAAAAGTAATGTATGGTGCCATTAGCTCTTAAGATTTTTTATAGATTTCGCTACTAGTTTTTAAAAATGCGCTATAGGATTGTTTTCAAAAATATTACACGTTATATGTTTTGTTTATTGTGAATTAACAACGAAACCCGAAAGGTATAAACTATTTTTGAGGCCCTGCCATTGAGCGGTGGGTTTTAATGTGTTGATAATAATAGTACATCGGATCATGATATCGTTATCGTCTATCTATTCTATTTCAGCAGTGTCGGTGTGTCGTTACGTGTAATGTGTATTATATATAACATAAAATGTAACAGTATCGTTATGGTACCACGGATAACGTTATCGTAACTATATCTATATTTATAACTGTCTATTTGCCATGTAATTGTAACGGCATCTTAACGGTAGGCACAAAATCGAAATTCACACTAAAATTTTTCAATATTGTACAAATATGACATGTATGACTGCTTCTTATTTTCTCCGCCTGCGTATATTTTCCGAAAATGACAAAAAACCAATACTATAATAATATACATTATAATATTAACCAAAACAAAATATATGTCATTGGTATTCATACTTGAACCGGGGTGTACTGGAATGACAAGGGAGTTAATGGTAAAAAGGCACAGGGTTGTCAAACGTTTTAAATGAGATTGCGTGAAGATTTATGCAATTTTGACTACATTTGTTATCCATACTATTTCTTACATCTTGCTTCAAAGATTTTATTGAAAATTTTAAAGTTAAATTATTTTGGGGTTACTGAAATAATTTGTTATCCCCGCTAATATCACATATATTTACTACATATTAAAACTATTTATCGTAATTTTTTATTAGATACTATATTGTGTTATTGAAATACATAAGTATATTTTATTAGATATATTAATGAATATAACAATTTTCAATTTATTGTATAATCGATATCGATATAGTCATTACAAACTGTTTACCTACGCGACCTTAGGGGAGAATATAAAGCTCTCTACTACTTGCGCCAGTAAATGCGGCAAAGGCAAGTCAAGTTCAGCCCGACCAATATAGAACGCGCGGGCCGTAATTATTACTTTATATATTTTATTTATTTATTAAGGAAACAACAATAATAAATTTACATTACTTTATCAAATTGCCGTCCCAAAAATATGTCCGTAATTTCCAAAGTTTGTGGGTCTTTACGCACTTGGATGAAGCCACATTGCTTCAATTCTGAAAATAGATAACTATTGTTAGTCTATTTTTATTATTAGGTAGTTTATAATGTATTAATGGTTTAATCGGTACATACTGAGTACGGAAGAGAAACAGCGCGCTGCTATGATATTATGTTTTCCCGGTGTTGTGGGCCCGTTCATTATTAACTTATGGATAGTAATCGGTCTTGTCCCCTCCTTTATATTTTGTAAGATTTTCTTCATTGTTCCCTCGGTTCCCCATTGGTCACTGTAAATGAAATATATTTTTAAACAAAACGGGAAAATCTCCGAGTAAAGTGCGGTGTGATCATTTCGGATAAGACTATCTTCTAATTTTGTATCAGTTACATAAGTATATATTGTTCATTCTTATTTTAGTGATAAATGAAATTAGAGTCCACCTGACGGGAAGTGGTTATCTATGACAGTCCATGGACACCTGCCTGCAGCCAACCTCGTACAAAGAATGCAGGTTATGGGCCACAGCATCCACTTACCATCAGGTAGACTCTGTGCTCGTTTGTCGCACTTACACTACAACAAGATATAGAATTACTCACAGTATAAATCTCTTGGAATCAGTAGTCCGTTCAGAGTCGCCAAGTGAAACTTTAGTCCTGTCCAGACTACCCAGGGGCGTTCCAGATGATTCAGTGAGGGTTTCCACTTCGATGGGTTCGCATGTTTGCATGTCGGCTAATCCTGCTTCCTGAAGCATCGCCGTAGCGTTCCTCTCAAGTTCAGTGCTTGGAAGCTGTTTATTCTGTGGGATATTTTCTTTTTCAGCCTCTGTAAAGAATTTAAAAGAAAAACGTCCCTTGATTGACTGAACAGTTCAGTAAGAAGTTGCGAGTCCTTAATTCAAGCCCAATCGAATTCAACTCCTGTTCAGAAACATAAACGATTGATTTTTTGATCTACGATATATAGAGGAGAAGTGGCATGTAAGAGCCGGTTTACAAAACGGAGCAAAAAAAACATACTTTTAATGAAAGAAATGGTGATTTTTTTCTTCAATTATTATTTAGGTATTTATTAAAGTAGGTAATTGCATACGACAAAATCTTAAACGCTTAGAAAAAATCAACAAAATATTCATTTTAAAAAAAGTGTGTCTTATAAAGCCAGTCTGTATTATAAAGTGTAATTGTAAAAATTATGCAAAATAATAATAATTCTATTAAAAATAAAATAAAAAGACAGTACTAACAAATCCTTTTTAAAAACTAATGACATTTTTAAGAAATTTTAATTCCATCAGTCATTTTAAGTAATTCTAATAACGCTCAAATCTTAGTATTATTCAGTAATACCTATTATAGTATATATATATATATATATATATATATATATATATATATATATATATATATATATATATAATTTTTATGTAAACGTATTAGAGGTGGATTATTTTTAATTAATAGCAATGTTGAAAATCAAACAAAATAACAAATATCTTCTAAAATACAAACAAAACATCGTTAAAACTTTAAGAACTTCAAAAAAGATATTGCTCACTTGGAGCTTCAATCTTCACTATCTATTTGCTTAAGTTTAAGATTCGGAATTTTTAGGAAACTTTGGAATATACAATGTAATTTGCTTATAATTAGAAACATATCTTGCAAAATAAATTAAATTTTCCCTTAATGCCACAGCATTCGTGAGCCCACTCAGAACAAATTTTGCACTGAAACCAATCTTGATCACTACTTTCATATGATTTGCTGCACATTACGCAATTAACACTATTTGTTTTGAAGTTTGTTTTGCTTTGAACAACCTTTTTCAAAGTCATCTAGTAGTACAGAATTTCCTTGACATTTTCTTGATTTTCTATAAAGGGTTTTTATGGGCTGTTTTGTGTGTGTTAAAATAATTTTTTGTTCTCGTTAGTGTCAGTCACGACGGCAGACAAAATTCTTCTATTATTGCGTGTTGTTTTGTTGTCTTGGCCCCGCTTTAGAAAATGGTCCTATCCTTTCTGGTGACAATTTGTTGCCTAGAAGTACTCGGAATCGCAACCGTAGAGGTAGAGCTTAAATGGGCAGATGGTCTGATAATCTGGTCTGTAACAACCTCATTTTCTTCGCGAGCTTCAAGTGGGTTTTATAGAAGACAGAGGCGTTTATCTCAAGTTAGTTTCATTAATTTCCTTGTCCAAGTTCAACTTATTACCTTCGTAAGACTGTGACGGATCAGGTCTATCATTGATGTATGAAGATAAAAATTATTCTTCATTAAATATATTAGAATTTAAAGGGTAAATTCCTGTTTTCAAAAATCCTTGTGTTATATTACGAGGAATAAAACCTGACCGATATGCTTCCTTTACAAATTGCCTAACTTGATAAATAGTCACTGTGTTACCAGGGTTTAACAACATCCATTCATTCATGCCAATGCGGAATCTAGTTTTGAAAGGCCCATATACTGTTACATCGAGAGGTTGCAGTTTGTGACTACAGTGCGGTGGGAATGTAACTATAATCATTGAATTTTGTCTGGCAAATACAACCACTCTGAGATTCACATGAGAGTTGTAATTATTCATTAATATTAATGCTGGATTCCCCTTTGATGGCCTAACATGCATCACAAAGTGTTCAAGCGCTTTAACAAACCAATTCTCAGTCATCCATCCAGAAGCTTGAGTCAACCCTAGAGCTCCAGGCGGACCATTATTTAACATATGATCTTTATAGATTACTCTAGTAAATACAAAAATAGGGGGTAAAAACCACCAGCAGCATTAATAAAGAACAGAGATGTTACTAATGTTCCTCGTTCAGCTGAGGTAACTTGCCCAATTTGCTCCGGACCCCTTTCAGCTATGACTTTAGGAGCATTGGTGACGGCGCTGCAGCCTCTTTCGTCGGCGTTAAAAATCATATGGGAAGGAAAATGGTATTTGCGCAAAACAGTGTTTAGTTTCTGAAAAATGTGTTTACATTAGTTTTATTAAAAATTGTTGCACGGGATAGAGACGTGCTTTCAGGTTTCCTCACAGCTAAATGTTTGTGTCTGTTCATAAGCCCTTTGAGCCAATCGTCACTCGCAATTTTAATTTCCTTCCATTTATCTGGAGTGGTATTATGGGTCATTGCATAATCAAATGTCAGAAGCAGTCTTTAAATAATCCACAAGCATATACTCCCGGTCTGTTGTGAAAATACGCTTATTACCTATATTAGGACAGCGTTTATATGCTGATTCACCAAACGCTTTTACTTTTTTAACTATTTTAGCTAAATATGCCCTTGATATATTAAATATAAGTGCAGTTTTGTTTATTTCTTTCTCCAAAACTTCATTGACTGCTTTTTCTGATTTTTCTGAGCTTTTTCTCGCTTTTTTGGACCAGGTTTGTCCATATTCCAATATCTGAAGCAAATAATTAATTATGTCTGATAAAATTCATATTTACTATTATTTTATTGAAAATATTTAAATGCAGGGTTATTAAAAAGCCGGTTATGAAAGAGCCTGATCTTTTATGGCCCATTCACCCGGATCTTTCATAGCTTATTTTGTAAAAAAAAATATAACCTTTAAAATAACAACAATATCAAAACTTTTGCGGCTCAGTTTTTACGCAGCTGCAAGTCCAAGTATATGCGCAAACTCAATCTAGAATTCATTTACAAATATTTCTTTACAATAACATACTAAAAAAACAGTTAAATGAAGCAAAATACTTACTTTTAGTACCAAAAACTTCGACTCGATGTACCGACGTCAGTTGGTTTCGGCGGACTGTCAAATGTTTGTGGGTGACGTGGAATCAATGTTGCCACTTAAAAATAAAATTATCAACCAAATCCGTTCATTAAGTACCCAAATAATGTAAGTGGCTCTTTCCAAACCTGGCTCCTTCATGCCACTTCTCCCCTATACCACTGTATGTTATTATCCTTTATAAATTTTAAATATAAGTTTGTCATTCGTTTATAAGAAACATCAGATTGCAGTCATCATAAGGAAGTAGCTGCAAACCATCTCCGCTTCCGCTTCGCTTGTCAATGGTATTAAAAATATCTTTGTGTACGCCTACTGGAGAACAGCAAGTAACCACAGCGAGCTTAGACAAAGCTCAGCCTATAATGATGTCCTCCAGACCAAATGTTGATCACGGCAGCCAGTCTTAGGGAATCTCCACATTAATCGGCACGTAATCGGCTCAAGTCGAGTGCGTATCACCACACTACTCGGCTTAACGCCGAACAGTTGCTGCGACTGCTATGCACAAGCGATTGGCATTCGATTCCGAACCGTCATCGCGGCGACTGTTCGTGTTCGTTCCAGCGCCGTTCGGCCGCCTTCTGCGCCATCCGACCACCGTTGGAATGAAATCATGGAACCGAATCATTTAAACGCCGTTCGGCTGCCGTCGGTAACTTAAACACGTCGACGTAGGTGTTCGGCTACTTTCAGCGCCGTACGAATATGACCAGCTAATCGGCAAACCGCTCGTTTTGCCGTCGGCTGAAGTCGTGACGCGTCGTCCGAGCCGAGCCGATGAGAATGGCACTGGCAACACCAGTGTTTCGTAGAAATAATGGTGTTTCTAGCCGGCTGAAGCCGATTGCGAGTCGATAAATGTGAGGACTGTCTTAACGGAGACAGGTAAGGATTATACCGTGCAAGAGTGTGTGCACACGCACAGGCATTCTCTACCCTCACTCTCTTAGTTCAATGGGAATCGTGTCGGATTCACACGACCGGAGACGAACGTGCCAACACTAGTGTAGAGTATCTACGTAAGAATTTCCTTACCGTGAGCAGAGACGGCCTCCTCTACGACTAGCTCCCGGCTGTGTCTATACGGTACATAGCACATAGTGCGACATCGTTTTGCCTGCAACACAAACATACAAATATGATAGATAGGTACATACACAAGCTAGAAATACCAGTTGACTCGATTCCACCGAGTCATTAATTCATGCTTGGGACGATGTATACGCTTTTACAAGTGAATCCCAGAAAATATACAAAATGTGACCTGCTCAAAGCTCAAATAAGTTTGTTGTTGTGTTTGTTTGTTCGCTTAGTGGATATATTCTTTGGTACTGTCGTATTAAAGTCAGTCGAAAAAATTAGAGTTCACATTGAGATACTACGGTCCAAGTGTTTTAAGCACCCTATCGAGTTTTTATTTCAGGCCACTAAATATCATCTGTAGTAATGGACAGCTGTCTGAATCTTATATGTATCATAGTTCTAAAACTAAAATATAAAATAACATTTGAAAAACATGAGTTTAATGAATTAGGGCGAGGAAAGGCTGGGGCGTTGTACAAGCAGTACAAATACAAAGCAGGGCTTTGGTATCAATTGTCGTCGTGCTGCTGTCCGTTGTGCAAGATTTTTGAGAACCAGCAGAGAAGGTGATGTTGCAGTGAGGCCGGACTATGTCGCATTGTTGGTCTGCATGCATCATTTATTGTAGAATGTAATACATAATATATTGTATTTACTTCTATTGCGTTCTACTAAGTAGAAAAAGTCTACTAAGTAGTTTCATTAATTAATTGTCTCGTTAAAACCGTAGTGATGTTACCTATTCGTCTGTCAACTAATTACAGAATGTCATCGGAAGTGTGAGTGATCCTTGCAACTGCCCACTGCTGCAGTGGACAGTAGCTTACTGATCCTACAAAATAAAAAGGTATATGACATCTTACTGACGCCGTGGCTGCGCGCTGCTGGCCAGCCTGTGGACGCGGAGTCGATTCCCGCACGGTATAAGTATTGGTAGAGTCAACAAATTATTTTGGGTCTGAGTTTGTATGCAATTTATGTATGTAAGATGCCTAGAGTGAAGGTAGAACTAGTCTATCTAATAAATATTGTTACGAGTTTGAGGTTCGTGACAATAAAAATTGCCGATAGAATTACCTAAATTAACACTTTAATTCCTAATTAAAGTTAAAAACACTAATAATCACACTGATTCACTTTATTCCGCTCCGAAACTTTGCTTGTCTCGCCAACTTCAAAACTTCCCCGATCGCGTATTGCAGTGCCTTTATATAGGGCTCTTCCACGAAAACATCCAGAATATTTCAGAATATTCGAGTAAGTACGCGCGCCAACCGACCAAGCGCAGAAAGATCGAGTGTAGAGCTTCTAGAAAGTTTAGTTCTTCAATTTGATACTAGATGGCGCTGTCGGTTAATAAATTAGTAATGTCATTTTCTGGAAAGCTCTCTCCTCGCTCTGTTACCCGACACTAGATGGCGCTAGTGCCATGAGATGAGATGTCAACTTAGCCGCGCAACACTGCCCCCTCCTAAGAAATGCTCGTCCCGAGCATTATCGGCCCCATAATAACGCGCCAGGCGATCCACATGGACGATCTTAGGAGTCCCTCTTGCGCCTTTCTGTATCCGGTAGGTTACATCGCTGATCCTGTTCACAATCCGGTACGGGCCGTCCCATTTAGCTTGAAGCTTAGGAGATTTGCCTTTGCTGCGGACTGGATTGTGCAACCACACAAGTGAACCTTCGTCGAACCCTTTGTTGTTCATTTTGCGGTCGCACCGGGTTTTCATCTTTTCAGACATTTGTTGGCCCGATTGTCTGACGTGCTCATAAACGTCATTCATTTTGTTCCGCAAGTCATTTGCATAATTGGTTATACTGCGTGGAGCATCAGGTGGTATCCCGGTGATCAGGTCTGCAGGCAGCCGTAATTCTCTTTCAAAATTTGCGAAAGCTGGTGTCACTGCTGTACTTTCGTGAACAGCGCTTCGATATGACAACAAAAACGGTTGTATGTGCTTGTCCCAATCTCGTTGCCGATTGTCTACAACTTTTGCTAGGTACCTCTCCAATGTCTGATTAAATCGTTCTACCATTCCATCAGATTGCGGATGATAAGAAGTCGTTCTTGTTTTATGAGTACCCATCACTCGGCAAGTTTCCTAGAATATTTGAGACTCAAAATTCCTTCCTTGATCGCTGTGAATCTCCAAAGGTACTCCAAAACGACAGAAGACTTCATGAACTAGTTTATCTGCAACTGTTGAAGCTTCTTGATTTGGAATGGCGAAGACTTCTGACCACTTAGTGAAGTAATCCATCACAACCATGAAATACTTGTTACCGCTTTCACTCTCCGGAAACGGCCCCGCCACGTCAATGGCTATTCTCTCCCATGGTGCAACAACATTGTACAACTTCAATGCACCTCTACTACGAGTCTGAGGTTCCTTTACAGCCGCACAACTTGTACATTTGCGACACCAGTCCTCGACATCGTTTCGACAGTGGACCCAATAAAACCGTTCTCGGATCTTCAGTAGAGTTCGTTTAACTCCCAGATGGCCTCCTGAACAATCATTATGGTACAGCTGTAGAACATCCGGTACTTTAGCTTTAGGGACAACCATTTGCAAATGACAGCTGTCTCCCCGAACACTTTCCCACTTACGACACAGAACTCCATCCTGAAGCAGCAAGCTGTCCCACTGGGCCCAATAGCTTTTAGTGGTCGAACTCATCGCTGAGACGTCACTCCACTTGGGCTTGGGAGCACTGGCCTTTATCCATTCCAGAATCGGCTTGATGTCCGGATCTTCCTGCTGTGCATGTAGTAAGCTGTCCTTCCACTCGTTGCTTAGGTGGTCTGCCCTGAGCATCCTCACGGATACCACTTCCTTACTCTCTTGCCTAGTACAATGTTTTCGATCTTCAGGACAAGGTCTTCTTGACAATGCATCTGCGTTGCTATGAGATTTCGCGCTGCGATGTCTGATAGTAAAGTCGTATCCCGGCTGCTGCTGGGCGGTGATGTTAGCCGCACTTCCCTTCTGAGATCGTTCACCTTCCCTTTCTAGGGTTCGCTTAGGGCAGCTGGATCGAAGATGGCCCCTTTCCCCACAGCCATAGCACCTAGGGCTGTATCCTGTATTGTGGTCGCGAACCGTAACTGCTGCAACCTCCCTAGCGCGAGTGGAACGACGATCCTGCCACCGCCAGGCGGTGCCGTTAGCTGCACTACCCTCTGGAGATTGATCAACTCTCCTTTCTACAGTTCGCTTAGGGCAGCTGGAGCGAAGATGGCCCCTTTCCCCACAGCCATAGCACCTAGGGCTGTATCCTTTGTTGCAGTCGCGAACTGTACCTGCTGCAACCTCCCTGACGCGATGGGAACGATGGTCCTGCCGTACGGCTTCCACCTCCAGTGCCTGGGCCAAGGCGTCCTTAAGCGTCTCGTGGTGCCCGAGCCTCACAGCAGCTCTGACTTCCAGGTCGCGGATGCCGTCGATGAATGTCTGCACCAGGTTCCACCAGGTTTAATACAATGTTAGAACAGTTCACTAGCTTCCAAATAATAGCTTCTAGAGTCGATGTTAAGAAATAGTCTACCGAAGAATTAAGATCCCGACTCCAAGTAAATTTTTTCGTGAAAATGATTTTTACCATTTAGCAGTATCATATTGTGGTGACGCTATCGTTGGCGCCACAAGTGAAACGCACTTAAGACTAAATCATACTATCAAAGATCCGAAGAACTGTCCTATATACTTCTATAGAACAGCTCTGTACAAAGTTGGCCGCTCTGAACACCTTGCCACTTGGAAGATCTCCACTTTTCCTTGCACGACCGAAACAAACTCAAGGTAGCAACTAGAATGGCGTCCAAGTAATTAATTAATTAAATATTTGAAGCCCGTATTTTTACCACGCTTAGGGTTTCAATGATTTTGTCAAATGTAAACGGGAGCACCCTATTGGATGCCGTGTCACACAAGGCGACAGAGGGAACAGAAACAGGAGCTGCAGGGCAGCATCCTGCAGCAGCTGGCACTAACAAGCAACTGCGGCTGGCTGCCCGCCCGCTGAGCGGACCAAGTGCGGTAACATCGCCCTACATCTGCGGCGGAGGCCTGTGCTCAGCTGTGAACTGTAGCAGGCTGCAATGGATGCACCCTATTGGATGAGCTATTTAATATAAAGGGAATCGTTTAAATGGATTCAGCAGTTTCCGGGAAATTTGCCAACACACATAAGAAAATATACATTCGCGTCAAAAAGAGATTTTAGACGTGGCAGATGCACGCTTCAGCTATATTATAGTCGTAGCACGAATCGATCGACTTGACCGAGGAAGGACCACGATCTCACAGAATGCCAGCATAAAATAGCAGCTTAATGCTGCTGTGTTTCGTATTGTGAGTGTGAGACCCAGAGACTCTTTTTAATGGAAACAAGACTTAGACCTGAAGGATGACAACGCATCTGCATTTTGATTTTTATTAGAGGATAAATGTAGATGTCTATGAGCGACACCATCCACTCACCATCACGTGGACTGTGTGGCCATTATCATTATTGTGTAGACATTATCGTTATTCTATAAAAAAATATAAAAATTTCCACTTTTACTGTATGAACAAAACATTCTTTATATTTTGAAAAGCAATGCTGTGATAGCTCAGGGGCTTAGCACTTGTTAATTGCAATTTCAAGTACTGATAGTTACGACGTGCTCGGCGACGAAGGAAAACATCGTGAGGAAATTCGCATGTCAGATTAGTAAGATATTTCGTGGATACGTAAAAGTCATCAACTAAAGCAGCGCGGCGTCTACTTACAACCCTGTCAGAGATGTGAGGGTCGTGCTCAGTAGCGGGACGTGCATTAGACTGTTGCTTTACTACTTAACTTTACATTTAAAATACGGGTACTTTATTTACTAGTTAAAACACAAAGTATGAAAAAAATTACCTCCATTTCTCTGTCGGCCATCGGCGTTCTATTTAAAACTCTCAGATTGCGTAGGAAAAGCCGTGACAAAACTTGAGACATGTTAGAGCGGATTCCTGCGTGAGCGGGCCGACTTAGGTAAGTACGAGCGGGTACTCGGATATTCACCACGTCCTCCGAACTATCCTGTTTTTCCAAAACATAGTTCTGTACTTATTATTTCACTTTTGTATTTAATATAACAATATAAATTATGAAGTACATATTTATTTAAAATTGCAATAATTCAGAAATTTACCTATTTTATTGCTTAGTTAAACGTATTGTGAAAAGTTACGAAATAAATCAAAATAAGAAAATTTTCAGGTAATATCAAATAAATACATTTAACACGTTAATTGCCAATCACGCGACGTCGCGTGTTCGCAGTACTCTTCAATTCGGCCCTTCACGCGACGTCGCGTGATGTGTCCGACAAGTTTTTTATGAAGCGTATTGCCTGGGTCGGAGCGTTATCGCAACGGCGTTTTTTATGGGCCTCTAGAGAAAGGACTGAGCTATCGTAAAGTGAGCGTGGCCATCCGAATCATGCGATAGTTTTAGTGCTACGTAATTGGTTAGTTCGCTTAGCGTCGCCGCTCGAACCGGACGGCTTTCTTGTTTGTTTTTAGTTAGTTGTGAACAAATAATACGTATTTTTTGTAGTATAAAGTGATAATAATAATAATAAAACAAAATTTATAATGAGTCATCATCGACCTGGTACCTCTAGGGGTACGAAACGATGAAACGAGATACCTTTGCGAGCGCAATCAAAACGTGTTTTGTTGCACGAATCGGATATTCTTGAAGCTTTAGGAAACTCTTATGAGGATGATTTTGTGGGAAGTGATGAAGACGAAGATTTTTGATTGGGTGATGATGATGGAGACAGCTCAACCCTGGAGTCGGGAGAAGATGAAGAAGGAGTTATATCACCGCTACCACCTAGTGAAATTCGATTTTCATCTGCAGAAAGGGAGGAGTTGAATGAAACGATTGAAGAGTCAGCTGTTCATTACAATTGTAGACTTCGGTGTCTAAAATATTAAGATTTTTTATGTTGCATGTTTCTTTGATATTTTGTTATTTTTTGTTCTATATAATTCAAATAAAAATTATTGATACCAAAAAATTTAATTTTATTACATTTGAACTCATAATTGCACTAAAGTGCTAAGGTATCCCAAAACTCGACGTCGCGTGATGGGGCCCCTTTTTTTTTTTTTTGCGGATGGAAAATCATCTAATGACCCCTCTCGCTCTGGGTGGAGCGTAAGGGAGTGTCAGACTTTTACTGACTAAAAACCATCCGTATTCCTTCAGTGCCCTTACGTTCCGGAGCCGCGGTATCTCTTTCGAATAGCCCGCAGCCCCGGCAGGCGTCGGCCCTTGCGGGCCCCATCACGCTGCTGACAGCTCTTTGAGGCGCGCGTGGAACAAAACGCGCCGTCGACACGGCCTGTCGTCGTTAGACGGACGGACGACGAGCTACCCATTGCTCGCCGTCCACAGGCCCGCGCCTACGGTGGCCGGGGGCCACGACGTAGCCCCCGACGCCCGGGGCGTCTCCCGCGGCGGTCGGGGAGGAAAGCTGCTGCTCTTTCCTTCTCCCGCTCCGCCACCTCCTTCGCTAGCATCACTGCTTCGCAGAAGGTGGTGACGGCATCCCATTCCGTCTCGCTCCGGACCATGGCTTCGACCAGGGCCGGACGCGAGAGGTCGCCGCCGCCTATCGCCGCTACGAGGACACGGCGGTGCTCCGCCCAAGCAGGGCACACCTCCACGGTGTGTTCCACCGTGTCCTCCGGTCCATCCTCGCAGTGGGAGCACCCGGGCGTTTCCTCCCGCCCGATTCGGTGCAGGAACCTCCCGAACACACCGTGTCCGGTGAGGACCTGAGTCAGGCGGAAGGTGAGGATGCCGTGGCGTCTCTCAAGCCACTCCTCAAAGAGGGGTCTTATCGCCGCTATAGTGGCGTGCCCAGCACGGGGTTGCGACAGTCGCTCTCTCCATGTCGCCATGAGATCGTGCCGGAAGTCTGTCCGCTACGCGACAACTTGCCGCGGCAGCGGGGTTTCCCCCGGCGTAGTGCCTCCGCGCGCCATTCGTGCAGGCGTACGAGGACTACCGCCTCCAGATCCCATGGCGGCAATCCGGCAAGGAGGCTCGCCGCCTCGCGGGAGATCGTGCGGTAGCCGCGAACCATTTTCACGGCGACCACCCTTTGGGGCGCGTTCAGGTGGTGGACGGCAAGCCGCGCCAAACCACGCGCCCACACCGGGGCCCCGTAAAGGGCCATGGATCGCACGATCCCCGCGTAGAGCCTCCGGCAGGAGGCGTTTGCCCCCCAGGTTCGGCAGGAGTCGCCTGAAGGCAGCCCCGGTCCGTTCCAGTTTGGGAGCCAAACGTCGGAAGTGCTCAACGAAGTTCCATCGGCCGTCGAGGACGAGTCCTAGGTACTTCCGCGTCAACTCGACGCCGATGGATACCCCTCCTACCATTACCGAGGATCCCGGTGGTGGCCTGTTCCGAGGACCATGGAAGTGCATGGCCTCGGACTTGTGCAGAGCCACCTCGAGACCCAGTTGCCGATAAATGTACACTCCACATGGCCCATCACGCGACGTCGAGTGATAAATAACTATATTATGTAAGATATTAAATATATATACTAAAACCATAAACACACCCGCAAATAGTATTTGCTGTACTTAAGAGTTATTTCATAAAAAAAATGATTTCATATGCGGCTTTTGGATCAAAACATATGAGACCTATACAACCCGCGCGAATAAAGAAACGATTCATAAATGGCGGCGCCGCGCTGATCATGCGCTCTCACTCTAAACTATGGCTGTCTTTAGTCGCACACGGCCCGTACTGCATGCAAAAAACTGATCGTCTTTGTGTGTGTTGTGCAGGTTGTTAATGTGTGCATTATTATTGTTGCAGCGTTCTAACAATTTATCGACGTCGATCAAAATGAACGTTAAATAAAATGTGACATTATGAAAGATACTGTACATATTATCCTTTCCTATTTTATATATAAGTTTTCAGATTGGAAACGTATAAGATTTCTAGAAATCCATTCTGTTAAACCGAATTTGTTTTATAGATACCTACATATTTTTTTTAAATATCATCACGGCCTATTCATATTCCACTTCTGGTACATAGCCGTACGCCTATCATACTATAAAGGCAGACGGGTTGGTGAGGCACAGTTTTTTTGTTGTTTAATCTTTCTTAATAATTACTATTGTAATTTTAAGTTATTCGTGGAGAGATAACCAGAGTGACCGACATAGCCCAACGGATTAGTAAGCTGAAGTGGCAATGGGCCGGCCATATAGTTCGAAGAACCGACAACCGTTGTGGAAGAAGGGTTCTCGAGTGGCAGTCTCGTACCGGTAGGCGAAGTGTAGGGCGACCCACCACTAGATGGAGAGACGACCTGGTAAGACATGCAGGAAGTCGATGGATGCAGGTGTTTCAGGACCGTGCTTTGTGGCATACCTTGGGGGAGGCCTGTGTTCAGCAGTGGACTTGTGAAAGGCTGTAATGACGACGATGATGATGATGTTAATTTTAATTACTAATATATAATTACTAATATATAATTTTTATTAAGTAGTAAGTTTTTTATATTATTAGATATTAAGTTATTTTGTTTTAAAATTTAAGTTATTACATTTTTTAATTTTTAATTCGATTTATGGAAAAGGTTAAACGCTATTTAACATCCAACCATTTTCGACTGTAGACGGAAGTTATATGTGCACGACTACGGTTCTTATGGCGCCGTAATTTTAAGTTCGCGTAGATTGTCGTAGCATAGATCTCAGCGAGTTACGTCGAAAAGTAAAATAAATTTTTTTCGCACATACATACACTAAAATTACTTTTTTTTACACAGGAATATTGAACTTCTTTTACAATGTTGCTTCTGCAACAGCTTCGGCGCTGCGGGAAGTGTAGCCCCTTTGCCCTTGCGTAGCAAATAGCAGGCACCCATGCTCACCTCCGCATTTTTGGTTTATTGGACCAGCCCAGACACTGCGGCTCACACTGGTGCCTGCTATTTGCTACAACGGAAGGGCGCTGCTCTCTCTCCGCGCTTACGCCCTAATAAAACACTAGGGGTAGGGCAGACAAGAATACTTGGATTCGGGACGTGCTAATTCAATTTTAGTATTTAATTTTTGCGTATCGACATCTCGGAAACTAAGCGAGATATACGTAGTAGAAACCCCGTTATATTTAATATTCTCTTATGATTAAGATAACAAATTGTATTATGATGTGAAGTAATTGGTATCTGTAAATAGCCGTATATGAAATACCTTGAACAAGTAACTAACGATAGCATCGCTAACGTTCACCAAATGGTGCTTGGCGACCGCCGAATCAAAGTGAGAGAGATAGCAAAGACTATGATTAATGAAATGTCCAAAGAACGAGTTTGTCACATTAAATCCAGATTTAGGCGTACACGTAAGACCAAAAACGTGTTTGTATGAACATTTCCAACGCTCTGTTGGCTAAGTTTAGGCACAATAAATCCGAGTTTTGACGCCGATGATTTACTGTAGATGAAACTTGGATACACTATTATACACTCGAAACAAAAATACAGTCAAAACAATAAACTGCAAGAGGATTACTGGCTCCAAAAAAAAAAAAAAACTTTTTTGGGCTGGCTGGATCTTAATCGATTATCTTCAAAAAGAAATATACAGGAGCATATTGATCATTTTTTTATTATTATGTGCGAGCAGCTCCGCCGGGCTACGGAAAGAGACCAGTATCACTGCGACCAAGAAGATCTATTGTGATCGCTGCTATACTACTCATTACTCTATTAATAATTAATTGACATACTGAAGGCAGAAATTGCGGAAAAACGGCCACATTTGCTGAAAAAAAATCTGGTTTCACCAGCATTTGCCATGGCGAAAATCTACGAATAACGGTTTGAATTGCTTGACCATCCACCTTACCCACCGGATTTAGCCCCAAGCAACATTTTTTTCCCTGATCTAAAACTTGCGCTCGGAGGCCAGAGATGTTCATCAAATGAGAAGGCTGTCACCTAATCCAAGCGCAGTGACGTAGCAAGAGGAGCTCGTCTGCAGCACGAA